GCTCTGCAGACTCTTTGATTTTGGATGTCTTACCTCCAGAAGTATAACAGAATAAATGTCTCTTGTTTTAAGCTACTCAGTTTGTGGTAATTTGAAGCCTGTAAAACTGTGGAAGTGGCTTTGGAATTAGGTAATGAGTACAGGTTGGTAGGATTTAGAGATACATGAGAGAAAAAGCCTAGACTTCCTTGAAGAGATTATTAGTAGAAATATGGACTTTAAAGGCAACTCTGGTGAGAGCACAGAAGCAAGTGAAGAGCAGGATAGAGAAAGTTTGTTATCTCAGGAAATTCATCTCCCATCATAAATAGACTGCTAGTAAATATGGATGTTAAAGGGATTTCTGTTGAGGGCTCACAAGAAAATGAAGAACATGTCATTGGAAACTGGAGGAAAGTAATCCTTGTGATATGGTGACAAAGAACCTGGCTGAATTGTGTCCTGTAGTTAGGTGGGAAGCCGAACTTGTAAGTGATGAACTTGGATAATAAGCTGAGGAAGTTTCTAAGCAAAGTGATGAAGGTGTGGACTGGTTTCTTCCCATTGTTTATAATAAAATGTGAAGAAAGAGGTAAATTGAGGAAGGAACTGTTAAGCAAAAAAGAAATCAGCACTGGATGATTTGGAAGTTTCTTAGCTTATCTATATTATAAAGGATAAAAAAAATACTAGATTTAGTGTTGGGAAAGAATGATCAGGAGAGAGGACAAAGGGTGCAGCGGAAAACTTTTGCTAAAGAAATTAGGCATGTGCCTCATGGACCCGCTCAACCATCTCATCAGAGCCAGGAATAGAGATGGGATTATTCCGGAAAGATCTGTGGGGTATCTTCTTGTCCAATGGCATGAATCCTCATAACATACATGGGAGACCCACAAGCTTTTTAAGAATGTTGTATCAGCACAAACAATTCCAGCATGTCCTGAATGGACAGAGACAGGGCAAAGTGAAAGAGGGCTGTCAGATTTTCAGAAATTCTACAAGCAAGAAATGAGCTGATAGAACTACTAAATTGTAAGCATAGGCTGCCTTCAAGAGAAGAAAGGAGAAATGACATGAGGACAGAATCATGGATGCAGAGGTAGAGGCTGGAGGTGCAAGAGCAAAGGCCTATCAAGCTGCTATGGGTACAGAGGCCTCTGGAGCTGTGGGTCCAGATGGTGTAGGTTTGAGCCCCAGAGGATTATTCTCAGGCCTTGAAATCAAATGAAACTTGCCTTGCTGGATTTCTTACTTGCTTGGAACTGATGACCCCTTTATTCCTTCCATTTTCTCCCTTTTGGAATGGAATGTCTATCTTATACTTATCTCACCATTGTATTTTGTATGTGACTTGTTTCACAAGTCAATGGGTGGAGAAGGATTTTGTCCCTGGATAGATTATACCTAGAGACTCACCCACACCTGATTTACATGACTTAGATGAAGAGATTTGTAGCTTTTTGAGCAGATAATATTTAGATGGGGGCTGAGACTTTTGGAGATATTGGGATGGGGTGAACGTATTTTGTGTTTGGGACAGATATGAATTTACAGAGCCGGAGGTTCTTCTGTAGTGTGTTGAAAGCCCACTAAAAGACATGTACATGCCCTAATATCTGAAACCTGTGAATATGGCTGTACTTGGAAAACGTTTCTTTGCAGATGTAACTAAGTTAAGGCTCTTAATGAGACCATCCTGAATTAGCAGAGTGGGCCCTAAATCCAATGACAGGTGTCTATAAAGAGGCACATAGAGGAGAGATAAAGAAGAGAAGGCCAAGTGAAGACAGAGGCAGACATTGTAGTTAGGCAACCAAAGGTTAAGAAGTGCCAGGAGCCACCAGGAGCTGGAAGACACAAGAAAAGATCCTCCCCCCAGGGCCTTTGGAGAGACTACAGCCCTGCCAACACCTTGGATTTGGACTTCTGCCTCCAGAGCTGTACGAGAATAAATGTCTATTGTTTCAAGCCACTAGTCTGTGATAATTTATTATGGCAGCTGTAGAAAAATAATACAGAGAAAATAAAGCTGCCACATAACAAGCAATGCCAAGGTAGCAGCTTAAAATGATAACTACCATCTATTTTGTTCATGAATTTGGGGGTTTTCTGGGTTTAGCTAGGCATTTCTCTCTCAGGGTTTCTCAGATGGTTATAACCAGAGGCTGGCGAGCTGGGGCCATCTTGAAGGCGTCTTCTCTCATATGTCTGGCATCCAGATTGGTAAGACTCAGACAGCTGGAGGCTGGAGCTGGGGTCCCTTGGCCATCTCTTTCTCCCTTTACGTGGTCCCCACATGATCTTTGTATATGGCAGCTGCATTCTACTGTAGAAGCTGTCACAGAGATATGCTCAGCCACAAAAGAAGAGAAGGTAGACTCTGCCTCCTGATGGGTGCATAATAGAATTTGCTGACAGTACCACTGACTCAATTCAGAGGAGATGGTGAAGTTCACCCCTCAGAACTGCCTTGCTTTGGGGGGCAAGAAAGCTGCAATATTTATATCCCCACAACCACCAGTCATCCACCCAGTTATGGGCTACCTAGGGAAAACAAACATTCTCAGATCCTTCCAATTCTCCATGAGAGCAGGAAACATGGGTTCTGGCCGCCTGAAGTCAGGACTCTGAACAGTCTGTTGGGAATGAAAGCAACTGGGGGAGGCAGTGTTCAGATGCACTGTACTGGATTCCAGGGGATGTTGTCAGAGCTCTGACATCAGCTGGTACATAGTGCCAACTCCACGTGGAAATGTAGTAAATACCTAGTGTTGGTGCCATTTCACAGGACTGGGGAAGTCAGGGTTATGCAAATAAATGGCATTGAGAAAATTTGTTATTCTTTTAGGAAAAAATATTTATAAGGTCCATACCTCTTATCATACAAAATTTAATTTCCAGAGTAATTAAAGAGCTAACTATTGGGTTGTCGGAAAAGTCATGACGTATTTTTTTCTCTGTTTTTAGTTACAAAATGCATCATGACTTTTCTGACAACCCAATATAAACAACAAAGTGATGCAAGTATGGGAGGAAAACATATGTGTAGTAAAAATGGTCTTTCTAAGCAAGATATAAACCCAGAGGTGATGAAGAAACAGACTGACACATTACATAAAATTTAAAATGTAGGTATGACAGAAGCCATCATAAACAACCAGACAGAAACTGGGCAAAAACAACTGTCACCTATGAAATAGGAAAACAAAAGATATTCAGAATGTAGAAAGAGCTCCTATAAATCCATAAGAAGATGAAAAGTAACCAATAGAAAAATGAGCAAAGAATATGAATTGGTGATTCACAGGACTACAAATGCCAATAAACACATAAAAAATTGCTATACCTCATGAATAACCAGCAGCATGGAAAATAAAGTTCAGTAATTTTATCATTTTATTTCCATTAAGTTGGCAAAACCTTTTAAAAGATTGATTATGTTCATCATGGCCTAGAGTGTGGCTGCACTTGCAAACATTTTTAATTGGTTGAGCTATTCTGGAGAACAGTATGGCAGTATTTATCAACATTAATAATATGAATATTCTTTGACTTTGAGGAAATTTCAATTTGAGGAAGCTCATTAGAAATGATCCCACATGCACAGAAAGATATACACATATAATTGTTTACTGCAGCATTGTTTGTAATAGGGGAAAAATGGAAAAAACCTACGTGTCCACCAGTATGACAATGTTTAAATAAAATGGAACAAAAAATATAACAAATTGTTTCAAGAAATATTCTTCTTCTGCCATTAAAAATACAAGATTTAGGGACAAAAATCTACAAGAAAAAATAATAGAAAAAAGCAAGTTGTAGAACAATATTGTCCCTATAATCCCAGTTGCACTTAAGAAATTCAATGCAAGTAAGTGTGTGTGTACATCATGTTAGTATATAGCTATTGTGATCAATAAAAGGGGCCATACACTAACGCTGACAAGCTGTGGGGTGGGATGGGGGCATGCATGGCAGGCTTTACAAACTCCGTGACCGAAAGTAACCACACAGGATAGTATGAATATAAAAAATTTCTAACTAATCAGGTCATGGTGACTAGTCAAGTCTCAGGCCTGTAGCTTTCTTGATAAAGGTCAATCTTTCTTTACCTTAAGTGAGGCTGTCTGCTGTCTTTGTGCATCTAAGATAACACACTTTTCAAATGTCAGAGTGATTTTCTTTTCCAGACCCCTGGAAGGCACAACCGCCAGTACCAGAGCACAAAACCACAAAACCCCTCATTGTTATCCCCGAACACCATCTCTATTTATTCTTAATGTTAAATTAACTCCCCTGTACCCACCAATGTAAAATAAATGTGTATCTCTCCATTTTACTTTTCACTCAATCCCAGTGACTTCGCGGTTTTGCTTTCTCCTGCCTGCTTAATCTACCACCAATGGATTTCATGTAACCATCCTTAGGTTTTCTCCTTTGATTCTAATGTATAGAATGAGTTGAAAAACTGCCATTCTCCAGAGCATTTTCTCAATCTGAGTGATTGCTTTCAGGCATGGCCTCAAAATTTTGCCTCAAATGAACTCTTATCAATCTTTTCTATAGGTTAGACTTTGTTTCTTCTGACACTAGGCCCGTTCCACACCTACCTGCTATATGACTTAATACCGTTAAAGTCTTAGTCCATGCATGACACACAGTAAGTGCTATATGAGTTGGCTATTTTTATTGATATTTCTGTATTTTTTTTAATGATAATACATTTTTACTTAATGTAATTTAAAAGAATATGTTTTCAATTACATTAATAACACTCCCTGCTCCCAAATGCATTTAGAGGGCAAAGGCCATTTCTTTAATCCCTCCACTCTGAGAGCACAGCACGGGGCCTGGCACATAATGTCCACGTGGAAACATTCACAGGAGGAACTAGCCTGCTGTTTCCCACCCCTCCCGGTCCCCTTGCCAGACCCGAACTCCGGACTCCACCCATCAGAGCCCTAGGCCTTCCCCTTCCCGCGCAGTCCAGTGCGCAGGCGCGAGGAGGCGGGGCCCAGCGCTCGGCCACCCTGCCCCCAAAGCGTGAATACGTCTTTGGGCCGAGCCGCGCACTGTTTGACGTGCCTGTGATCCGCCTTCCGGAAGGAAGCCTGAGCGGCTGAGTATGGCGACTGCCGCGGAGCAGTGGGTGCTGGTGGAGATGGTACAGGCGCTCTACGAGGTGAGCTCGCTGGCCTGAGCAGCCCACGACCACACCTGACTGTGGGGGGGCGGACGGCTTGTGTGGGTTTGTGGTCAGAGACGTGGGCGGGGTTGGCTAGGTCACGGCCGGACTTGCGGCGTCCCTCGCTGGAAGGGTTTGCGTGGGCGCACACCGTCCCCGCCGCGGAGTGCAGAGACAGACCGGCGGGAGCCGGAACCAAGGGTCTCGTCTTGAGCTCCGGCGATCCCGGAGCCTGCTCTGCGTCCTGTCCTGGCTCAGGGAAGGAACACGTAGGAGGGGGCACAGGAGAGGGGCTTTTTCTCAAAAGCCAGAGTTGGGACGGTTGGTAGAACGGGGTGGTGAAAGTGGAACAGCTCCTATGTGGGGAGGTCCTGGGGAAGTCAGGTCCTTGGAAGTGTGGAGCAGGTCATAGGGGGAAGAATTGTAGTCAGTTGGAGTTAGTTTTGGTAGGGGTGTGGGGTTAGACAGGAAGCCGAATGATTTAGGATTCAGGAATATCATTTTGTCATTCTTCCGCATGTGGCGTATTCTCTATCTCGTAAATATAAAAGTATTTGAGTAGATCGTTAAGGGAAGAGTAAAGAGTTTTTTGAAAGGCTTCCTATTTCAAGTATGTTAGGTAATGTGAAATCAAGATGTCAGTCTTAGAGAGTGTTCGTTCATTTGACAGGTATTTACTGAGCTTTGCCGGCGCTGTCCCTCAGGACTTTCAGTGTGAACTATTGCTCTATTAATTTATCCTCGGTAGATGGGGTTGTAGAAGCCTTGTGAAGCTATGAAATGTTTGTTACAGGCATTTCCCACTAGTAAAAATTTAAATTATCTGAAGGATCAGATAGTTGTTGGTATTGTTTGGCATTTTGGTATTCTGCATCAGCTTTTATTTTAAACTTTTTTATTCTAAAGAGGTTTTAAAGCTGCAGAAATAGAGATTTTTTATGTGTAGAAGAAATTGCCTGCTGTTAGAAATGGGGAAAGGAATGAGTAGAAGTGAAAAGAGCTTTGAAAGTAAATTTTAAGTAATAAAGGTCATGGGAAGCTGTATTTGCAGGTGCATTAAATTCTATATGCAGGTTTTAGAAGTGTTCACTTTATTTCTTGTTTTGTTTTTGTCTCACTCTTAGGCACCTGCTTACCATCTTATCTTGGAAGGAATTCTGATACTCTGGATAATCAGACTTCTTTTCTCTAAAACTTACAAATTACAAGAACGATCTGATCTTACAGCCAAGGTAAGAAATTAAATCTATTATTCGGTGTGTGATTATAGTTGGTACATCTTTCCAAAAATAGCTTGTGGTGGCTTAACTATATGCTAAAATATTTTCTGTAATGTAAGGAAATCAAGGAGAATGACATGCCAGGGTAGACAAAATACAGCGATAAAGTAACTACCCAGAGGATTACAATGCTGTGGGCCCCTCTGCTTTGCTGGGTGTAAACAGCACTCTTATGAATAGTGATGGAAGGGAAGCATGGGTAACTACTAGTTTCGAATGTCCGTGTGCAGGATTACATGATTTACTCAGGAAAGCCCCATTGTTTCTGAAGCCTGCGTGAACATTGTCCCTGTGATTTTCATAAAGGAAACTCGGAGTTGGAAAAGATCCTCCTCACCCCACATTCCCCACCTCCCCACAGCAAATAGAATTTTGGTATGTTCTGTGTGGAAAGGGACCCAGCTCAAGCCCAAGCCAGGCAAACCTCAGGAAACAGAAGTGTCCAGAGGACCTGTGGTGCTGCCCACTTGCAGTCCATTGGTATGAGGGATCAGGGGCTTGAGGAAAGAGGTTTACCCTCTCACTCAGGTAGGAGCACTGCGTGACTGTTGGAGGGGAAGAGCAGTTCTCACTGCAGCTTGGTTTCTGTCACTTGGAGGCAGAAACTCTTGAGAGATGTTTTCCCACAAAAATCTCTTAAAACTTGGGTTCACAAGGCAGCACTGAGTGCAGCACAAAGATGAAGCAAGCACTGGGCTTTTCTTTTTTTTTTTCTTTTTTTTTTTTTTTTTTTTTTTTAGCTAAGCCATCCTGCCACCTGGTGGCAGCTCAGCTCAGGCCAGGAATCGAACCGAACCAGCGACCCTGTTGCTCAGAGCTCACACTCCTGAGCGAGCTCTTAATCATCTGAGCCACTCAGCCAGCCGATGCACTGGGCTTTTCTTAACTTTCCGGAGCATTCACAGGAGAAGATACCATAGCAGTGTACGAGTGCCTCCCTGGTTCCACTGACTGGCTGCCACTGTCCTGGTCGTTCATAGTGATCACGAAGCGGTCAGGCACTGACCCCTAGAGAGCATGTAGGTAAAGCACAGCAGCCTGGGTAAAGCAGAATAGAGGTGTCCCACTGCACGATTTCCTATAACCTTTATATGCCAGTGGATATTGGAACCTCTGTTTGGAGGAATACCCTAAACTTGACCACAAATCTCTCCCTCTCTTTACGACTGCTTTGTGGGATTTGTGGGCCAGGGCACACTCTTGATCGCACTGCAGTAAGACTAGACCCTCCAGCCAGAAACCCTGTCTACACTTTTTTCCCTTGGCATTTAGGGACTCCTTGTGAATGAGTAGGTGGCCATGAAACAGACTTCTAGCCAAGCATATTAAAGGGGTTGATTAATCCAAATATTCTTAGTTTTAATTAAACATATCAACCTACACATACATCCCTTTTTAAAGAGTGATACATAAACATAATTTTAGAATATCCTCTGAAGGCAAGCTTAGAACAAGATTTAGTGATCACTGGCATCTTACCCTAACAGCAGTGGAAGAAAAAAACTGAGTGTTTGAGTGAGAAATGCCCTTGTCGGTTTGATAGATCTGCAGTTTCTTGCAGTTCCTTGACTGAAATCTAACACGTGTCTGCACAGTAGCCAATGGACAGTGCGCATGACATGTGCTCCAGGCTTGTTGGGCTGCTTGTCTCTCCCATGAGGTTGGTGGGAGAAACAGATGAGGGATTTATTGGTTGATTTATTTAGCCAGCATTTTTTGAGTGCCTGAACATCAGGGAATATGCTTTTGGTCCTGCCCTGGAGTTGCCTATCGGGAGAAAAATGCACAGAAGAAGCATTTAACAGATTTAACAGAAGTGTGAGACTAGAACTATTGAGAGATGATCTGTCTGTGAGGCAAGAATTGCTGTGGCTGTCATGTTAGTTTAGGTGCCTCATCTCATCCTGTACATCCAGACTACATTTTCAAAATTACTTTTTTTTCTAACTCAAGAAAGGATAAGGAACTCAAAATAGTCAAAATACTTATAATGCATGAAGTAACAGGTAAAGGGAATAAAGTAGCTTTTTATGAGAAATTTTCCAACAAAATCCCATTACAATACTTACGAGAATGGTTTTCTGTGTTTCAGCTGCACCTGAATCCCTGCAGCTGGTGTGTAGAAACAGTGCTTTGTGGCCTGGTTAGTCCCTCCCCATGACAGTCACCTCTGTAAGCACTTAGGGTGTGACTTTCTCTATTGTCTTGGAACGGAGGCAGAGCTGACTTAGCAGAAATCATGCTTCTCACCTTTGTGCTGTAGACTTTCTTTTTGTTTTACAATCACTGTAAGTTACACTTCCTACTTCCCATGGTGAAAAATCCCAAGCATAGAAATAAAATTTTCTTAAATTTTCCAGTCACCTGCAGAAGCTACATGGAAAGAGCCATTAGCCTGTGATACAAGGTGAGGAGGTTAAGTGCTCAAAACTCACAAATGATTCTGTTTCATTTCTAGCCACAACAGCTAGACCTGTTTCTAGCGGTGTGTTCGTGATGATGGTTCCATTACTGCAAACAATTTAGATACTGCTGTAGTCGCTGTCCAGTGACTAGCATTGTGCTTATTTTAACACTTTTTCTCTTGTAGGAAAAGGAAGAATTGATTGAAGAGTGGCAGCCAGAACCGCTTGTTCCTCCTATCTCAAAAGACCATCCTGCTCTCAACTACAACATTGTTTCAGGGTAAATCTGTTTGCTACTGGAAGGACTGTGCTTGGGGTCCTATAGGTAAACGTGACAAAGTATACACTGGTTTAAATAAAATAGAACATTTAACTGAAGTAAAACATGTAGAAATTTCTGCAGATCAGAAACTAACTGCTTTAGTTTCCAATCTAAAACTTTCTTTTAGGAATGGTATGGGCATTTTTTTGTAGCCTCCAATTTGAACATTACAGCTTGTTCCTTTTTTCTAAAAAAAAAAAAAAAATCTTTTTCAAAGTAATACATGCATATAACAACATGTCAAATGGTCAGATGCACTGAAAATGAAAAGCAGTGCGCCTGCTTTTTCACACCTGGTTTTGTTCCTGATTTTAGATCTGTTGCAGGTCACCTTCATAATTAGATATTAATAGTATCCTTACACTACTGTTTTTTGATTGATTAATGATAGCCAACACTTGTTGACTCTCACAATATTAATTAAGAAACTCCAGCTTCATTTATGCTACCTCTCTTCTTGCTTCCAATGTCTGTTTTTATTTTTAGTTCTTCTGTTGTTTATCTTTGCTTTATTGTACTTTTTTTTTTTTTTAGATTTTATTGGGAAATTGGGGGAGGGGCACAGCGTTGGGGAAACGGGGAAGGGAATCAGACAAGTTGCTGTCCTTTTGTTCTTCAGTCTAGTGGAGGACGTCGCTTCACTGGCCCATGTTGGTATTATTGTGCTCTTCCCAGGTGAGGCAGTCGCTCACCAGCCATTGGACAGCTGCTCAAGGCAGCTCATGTTGGCTGTCGGCTGCTCACGCTGGCTGCCAGCCACTCATGGTAGCTTACAGCAGCCCACTGCCGCCTACGCGGTCGCCGGCGACTCATGGCAGCCCACTGCAGCAAGGGCTGCAGCCTACCCCTGGCGCCTCACGGCAGCCCAGCTCCAGGTCGAGCTGCTGTTCACCATCTTAGCTGTAGAAGGGGCAGCATCACTGGCCCTCATGTGGGATCCGAACCGGGGTCCTGCTGCTCAGAGCTGCCATCCCAAGCCAACTCTTAACCAGTGCGCCACTCGGCTGGCCCTGTATGTACTTTTTTTAATTAAGTTTTTTAAAAATATAGAAAATATCAGACACGTTTTTATCACCCATCCAGAATTAACAGATATTAACATTTTGCTGTCTTTAACTTGAAATCTATTTTTATAAAGAAGTAAAACATTACAAATGTAACTAAAGAAACCCCTTCCCACCTATCGCTTACTCTTAACTCTCACACAAGATAACCACTATCTTAAAGTTGGTGGGTATTTTTCCTTTGCTTATGTTTATACTTTTACTACATATACCTGTTGTCATGAAAATATTTACTGTTTTGTTTAAAAATGTGATGCAGAATATTCTGAGTGTGTCCTGCTTCTGATTTGATCTAAGAGGTTTGTATTCTTTTGTGGATTTCTTTGGTCATAAAAAATTCTACATGATCTGAAATCATACTTACCAATCATTAACCTTGTGGAAGAAACGCTTTCCTATCCTAAAGGTCTAACTTGCCTGTTTTCCCTGTGATGGTCAATTCTAGCATTTTAGTTTAACAGTCCATTTTTAACCTACTGATTGGAAGTGTCTCTTCTTTTGTGTACCAAGTTCCCTTATAACGGGGTCTGTTTCTGGCTTTGTTTCTATTCCTTTGGCGTATTTGGCTGTCCCTGTGCCAGACCTCCCTCCTATAAAGACCACAGCATAAGAAAAGGCCTTGACAAGAGTGAGGCCTTCACTCCCCGTTCTCCAGAATTGTGTGGGCTACTCTTGACTCTGTGCTTCACTGTGAGTTTTGGTTTAGTTGATCAGATTTGACCAAAAAATGGGTTTGGGTTTATGACTAGCAGTGTACTGGCTTCATGGATTAATGAGAGAATTGGAATCTTGCTAACACTGAATTTTATCACCATGCTCCTGGTGTGTCACTTGTATTCTTAGGCCTTTTATGTCCTACGGTAAAGTTACATGATTTCTTCACAAAGACTTACCGTATCTTTTTTGTTTCTACTTTTATTTTGAAATAATTGTAGGTTCACATGCAGTTATAAGAAATGATACAAAGAGATCCCATCGGTTTTCCCCAATGGTAAAATCTTGGGTAACTGCCGAAGAATGTCACAACCAGGAAACTGACATTGTGTATCGTGTAATAGATTCGTGCTTAGGTTGCAGAGAGTTTTCATTTTTGTCATGAGAAGTGTCTTTTTCTTCTTGTTCCTGTGTTACTGCACTGATGCTTCCCACACAGTGTTGAATAGGAGTGGTAACAGGCTCAGTGTCCTATTCCTGATGGCTATTTAAGAGATAACCTATATCAACTTCAGGGCCTTCCTTTCTCTTCCTAGTTTGCTAAGGGAACTTTCTGTTTTTTAAATCAGAATGTTAAGATTTATCCAATACTTTTTCTGTCTCTATTGATATGATCATCACTTTTCCCCTCTAACCAGTTACTAGTAAGTTATACTGATAGATTTTTTAAATTAGTTATGCATATACATAAATTTTTATGAGAAACTGCAGTCCACCATGCCACCCTTCCTCACCTCAGATTTCTACTAGCAGTAATTGCTTTATATTTCTTTAGCTTTTTTTTCTGGTATTTGCCTCTCTTTCTAAGGAACTTGTTTTGCTGTTATTTCTTGATTTCTTTCTTTCATTTCCAGCTTCAACTGTATTTATCAATTGTAGGAGATAAAGACTGGCTCTGAAACGCATGCTCATTTGCTGTCCCCAGGCCCATAGTAGCCCTCTCTTGCCTCTGTGTGGACTAGAGAAGCCGTTGGTCCTGAAGCCAGCGCACAGCCTAGGGGGGCAGCCTGGGGGAGCCTGGGGCTGGGTGTGGCTCCTGGCACACTGGACAGGACCCCAGCTGCACAGGCACATGCGGCCTCCCTGCTCTTCCCCCTCTCCCAACACAGTTACCACTGCATCACGTGTCCTCAGGTGGCTTAGTGCTGACATTTTTATGGCCGCATTAACATCGTTCATCACTTAAGGTTAGCATCCGTTTTTTCAATATGCAGAATATTTTAATTACATTTCCTTTCTTGTTTTCCATGGACTCAATCATTTCTGTGTGTCCTCTTGCTTGCTTGATTTGACATATCAGTCTAATTCATCCTGTTGTCTTCCTCCAGGTGTGTAAATCTCCATTCAGAGTGTTCAAACGTAGGAATTATCCCTTGGGTTCCTTTTCATTTTTCTTCCTGGAGCCCTTGTCGTTCTGCTCCAGTGCTCACTGTTGCTGTGTAGAGCTGCTGCCCAGGGTGGCCTTGGGGTCCTCACCTCAGCACTAGCCCAGAGATTCCCTTTGTCTTGGCACTATCTTGGTTTACTCGGTAGCGCACAGGTGGACTTCTTCTGAGGAAGGCCTATGGAAGGTCATTTTTTTGAAACGTTAACACTTCTTTAAATCTTTTTTTATTTTACTCTTTTACACTAGTGTTTTACCTGTTTGTTATTGCTGTATTAGATACCTTCTCAATGCTGGTGATTCTTAGCATCTTTTTTTTAATATGCAGAATATTTTCATCGTAATAAACAGCATTAGGTAAAAAGTCTACAAAAACCATAATGTTTTGTTGGTTTCCAGCTTTCTGGGAGCTAGGTTGGAGGAAGAGAGCTCAGTGTCCCATTTTATATTATGTAGATTTATACTTGATTTCTGTTTTCCGAGTGGCACACATCCCCATTGATCCTTACGACTTTCAGTTTATACTCAGCTCCACCAGAGAATAAATTTGTCACCTTTCTGAAGGGCTGAAGGGGACCTAAGGGAATGACAGCTTCTTGTGAAGGTTTCCAAGCCGTCCTATATGTAGTCCACTCTTCTGTTCCCCACTGTCACAGGGAGCTGTGCCCTCAGCTTGGGGGTTATTTTGGGGTTTGCTGCTGGGCTTTTCACTGCCAGCCTAAGTTCAGCTTTCTCACTGATCTCTTAGACTTACCAAATATAACTTGTCAGTTTGCTTGCCAGTTTCCAATATTTTGTTACTGTCATCTCCTTGTGTGTCCTGGTCTTGGTAAGGTTAGATTGTTAAACTCTAGGCATTTTTGTGAGGTATCAGGAGGGAACAGAGGTTGAAATGGGTTTGTTTCTTTCATTCGGTCTTGTTTACTAGAAGCCACTAGTAGGTTTTTGTTAACAAATAATCCTTACATTTCTAGAATAAACCCTATTTAAGCATGGCTGTTTGGTTGGTTTTTACACATTACAGGATTTGTTTTGCTAATTTTGAGGGTTTTTAACATCCATGTTGAAGAATGAGTTTAGTCTCTTTATCTTCTTTTTCCTTCATGTGTTGGTCCAGTTTTGGTATCCAAGATATATTAGTCTTATCATTTTCTTAGCAACAGTATGTATTTCCTGTTGTTTATTCTTTTGAGCATAGATTTGTAATCATGAATTCAATGTCTTCAATGAGTTTGTAAAGCTTATTCAGGTTTCCTTCTTGAGTAAGTTCTGCTTACCATCATTTAGTCATTTCTTATGTTTTCAAATGTATTGGCATGAGTAGTTTATAGGATTCTCCTGGTCATGCATATATAAAATATATACATATAACTTTATTGTACAAGTGTATATAACAGCACATCTGTGAGGTTCATGTCTCCTTCTTTCTTGGTTAGATGCTCCAGAGGTTTGTCTTCTGGTTTAGTTGAGTCTCTTTGGTTTATTTTCTCCATTTTGAGGCTTTCTTGGTAACAAGGCTTTAACCCCCTACCCAGCTCCACTCTTGCCAGCACTCTCATAAGGCAGCTCTCATTTGCTTATTTTTTATTTCCTTTGTCCCGGTGTCACATCCATTCTCCTCCCCACTGTCACTTATGCTTTCTATCATTATTTCAGGTGTTACACATTTCTGTGTTGTTTGAAATGATATGTTTTATTTTTAGATTGTGTGTATCTTTGAAACCACATAATCTTAATGTTTTATGAATGTATGTTTTTAATTTTGTGCTCTAGACTTCATTCTGATTTTTTACGATTTTACTCAACACTTACTTTTTTCAGCAAATACTTGAGTGCCTACTGTGTTCAAGGAATGGAATGTGCTGAGCACATTGGTTTATAATAGCAGTAAATCAAAACCTTAGTTGTCTTGGGGCAGACAGACCAACAATGGAATAAATACAACATTAGCTGGTGGTATGAGGAAAAGTAGGGCAGACATATAGGTAGACGAGCTAAATGTAATTCCTGTTCCTTTCTTCTGACTGCTACATATTATTCTGTTGTGTGTAGTCACTGAGTTTAACTTAGCCGCTTTTCTCAAGATGGAAAAAAATGCCATCTTGAGAGAAAAGATAGACAAAAACTCCTGTGATCAACATCCCTTTGTGGACCTCTGGGGTGTACAACCAGGAATGGGGTACGATATATGCCCACCTGGTTTCCCTGTGGGACTTCTCTCCACTGTGATCCACTTGTCTACACTCCCCTGAGTTAGAATATGAGGGTTCCACCTTCTCCACAGCCCAGGTTGGTAACATTGTTTTATTTTGCATTTCTCTGATTATTTGAGCCTTTGAGTATCATTTCATCTCCTTATTAGTTGCTGGGGTTTTGCCTTTCTGTGAGTGACTCTTCATATCTTTTACTTCTTTTTCTACTGATTCCCAACCCATCTTTTGATTAGCAAGAATCCTATATACTGTGTAGATTCTAATCCTTGGTCAGTTTTTGATGTAGTACTCTATTACATTGATTCTAAGATACAATTTTTTTCCCCCTATTTTGTGATCTCTGAAAAGGGATGAATCTTACAGCTAGCTGCTGGGAATCATTGTCAGCTGAGGTATGGGTATAGGGGTCTTCATTGCCTGTGTACCATTGAACTTGGCCATAATTGTATTTACTGCCAGCACTTCAGTTGAGTTATGTGCCCTGCTTGTAAGTAAATCAGCTGCTAGAAGGAGAAATGACCAGGCCAATTCCAAGCAGATGAACAGAGACTGCTGTGACTGAGGCTTTGAACATCCCTTTGTCAAACTTTTGCTGCCTTTGGATAGTAACGGCTTACTTCCTAGAAACGTGATGTGATTAGCAAAAGATAAACTAGGAGTTTAGTCCAATAGGAAAGTTCCAGCATTAAAACTTAGAGAATGATTGACACTAACTTGTCCAGTAACCTCAGAGCTGATGGTGGAGCTTCCTGCTAGGTGCTGCTGGGATATGTGGTGGTAGGGAGCAGAACCTTATGTGAATATCCATGGTCCCCACGACAGCAGAGGAGGGCAGATGGTCGGAACGTGGGTAAAGAGGTTAGGAATGTCTCAAGCAATTTATCTTACTTATGTTTTCCTTTTCAAAATGTAACCTAAGAATGCCTAATAGATCTTTTCATTAAATATAAACTAAAAAAATTCTAGATGACAAGAAGACATCATTATATTTTAATCGGCAGTACTTTTCTTTCTTAGTGGTTGATAAAATACAGATCATGCTATCTTAGATTTGATGAAGTACAATAAATCTCTTTATCACCTATCTGTTAACTTTGTCTTAGGTATCTTCATTGAACCAAAATTCTGAATTTTGACTTGGTCACATTCATCCATTGGCCTCATGGTTTGTGTGTTTTGAGACTTGTTTCAGACATCATTTCCTACTCCAAGGTCACACATTCTTCTACATTCTGCTATCTTTTCAGTTTTTTGTTGTTTTTTTTAAGATTTTTTATTGGGGAATTGGGGGGATGGGAACAGTGCTGGGGAATTGGGGGAAGGGGAACAGACAAGTTGCTGTCATTTTGTTCTTCAGTCTGGTTGTGGAGGACGTTGTTTCACTGGCCCAAGTTGGCACCACCATTGCACTCTTCCCGGGTGAGGCACATCAGTCGCTGGCTTCTGGACGGCCGCTCACAGTGGCTGCTGGCTACACGGTAACCCATGGCAACCCACTGCAGCAGGGGACTGCAGCCTACGCCGTTGCTGGTGACACGACAGCCCAGCTCCAGGTTGAGCTGTTGTTCAGCATCTTAGCTGTGGAGGGCAGTGTCACTGGCCCTCATATGTGGGATCCGAACCGGGGCCCTCTGGCATCCCAAGCCAGCTCTTAACCATCGCGCCACTTGGCTGGCCCTCTTTTCAGTTTTTAATATGTTTAGAATTCACCTTTGTACGTGGTTATGCAACTTTTTTCCCATAGAGAAAGATCTATGTGTAACTTAGTAGCTTGTAGGGCAACTGCCATCATTTGTCAGGTATTTACTATACACAGTTCTCTTGGGTGCTGGATCCTTTCCTTGGTCTAGTTGTCTTTTCTCCCACCAGGGCCAAAGCTGATGTTAACGGGGGTCTGTAATACTTGTTTCTTTCTGGTCAAGCATCATCCTCCCTATTTCTGATTCACTTAGCCAGTCATGAACCTTTGTTCATCCATGTAATTACTGCCTCTAATTGTGAGGTTGTGTTTCTGATTGAGAAGGGTTTTATTTTCCCTCCTGCCAGTCCTCTGAGGCCCTGGTTGTGGAGATGACTTTCTAGATCGTTGTTATTTGCTTCTGTGAGGTGACTCAGAAGGGTTTTATGATCCAGGATTCCTGAGTCAGGTGCCTGCGTGGGGCACAAGTGTGAGCCTTCTGTTTCTCACCGGAAGCTGTTTTTCTTCCCTATTCCAAATGCTGTACAGAAATCACATCCTGACGTCCCTGTGTCATGCTGCTGCTTGACCGTGGTCAGGGGCTTTGGGTGTGTCTATTGTTGATGGTTGGATTTCTCTCTGTGTTACAGTTTTCATAAAATGGCCTTGACTTTCATAGCAGCAACCATTACTGCAGGCTTGTCTACATAGGTGTTTTGTTTTTCATCTTTTTTTGAGTGCCAGAACCTCCACACCAGGGAGCACTTGGGAAACTTAGAGAAGCCCTGAGAAGTAGGAAACTAAATGACACAATGGATTCACAATCACAGAGGGTGATTTGAAAGAGAAGAAGTCCTTGAAGCCATAGGGTGGAAGGAAGAAAATATTTAGAGAACACCTCTTGTGGGTCAGGCACTTTTATAATGATGATTCACTTGAGAGAAAGGTTCTTTCCCAACTTCGTAGATGAAGAAATTGAGTTTTACGGAGGCCAGGTAACACCCTCAGATCTCTGAAGCCATCAGTAGCCATAAGGCAGATGGGATTTGTCTGACTAACTCTATACCTTGTGTTCTTTTCACTGAGTCATCTAGCCTTTTTAGTTTATCTAGTTTTGTGAATTTACTTCAAGTTGTCATTCATTTCCTTCCATGGTTTCCCAGCATCTTTTGTTATTTTTCTCATAGAAAACCAGTTCTGTGAAAACATACCAATAAGAGCAGTTTCTCAGTCTTTCCTGGCTGCAATGCATTTTATAGAGCAGCCCAGCACGCAGACCAGTGCAGCTGTGTGACAGACAAGTTCCGGCCACAGCCCTTTCTCCTGCGCTGTGCAGTGCATTCTGATACTTTTCATTTTGTTCTATTCTTATGATTTTCATTAGTTAAAATAGGCTGGTTGTGACTAAGTTGCTCTCACAACCCTTTATACTCATGACCCACAGCTCAGCCCTCTGTTTTTGAAGCATGGTCTAGAGTTAGAACGTTTGTCAGAAAGGGACTTGACAGGGGACTTGTCTCCTTGAGAGCCCACCTCTTGGCCCAGCTGTGCCCAGATCCAAGCTCCTTGGGAGCTGGCCACCCCATTTCCTTTAAAAAACACTTTTTTTGGATGGAGATAGTCTCAGAGACACAGAGGAAGAACTGAGGGTTGC